ACCGGTGTTAGATCAGGAAATATAATCTGATCGGTGTTAGATCGGTATATATATCGGTCATCGGTGATTTTTTGAGAAAAACACCGGAAAATGAGATAAAAAAGGAAACGGGAACGGGGAAATAAAATGACAAATGAGTTAAAAACCCAACAAAGACACGTTTTGTAGATAGTGCCTTTGCCACATAATCATAAGACGCTTAACTTTTATTTGTTGAGTGGGATGTCATCTATACAAAGCACTTTCTGTAGAACATGTCTTATTGTCACATAGTACGAATATATTCTAAATCGATAAATATTAAGGAAAATGTGCTATTATAATATTTAATAATTTTTAAGGTGGGTTTTAGGTAAAATTACCATAATATTATACATTTCTCAATTATAAAAATGTGGTATTTATCTTTAAAAAATACAAAATTATCTTATTAACAAAACTAGTAAAATGTAAAAAATAGAAGAATAAAAGAAATACATAATAATTTTAATGTGGATGTTTTAAGTTAAATAAATCTACTGATAATATATAAAAATGAATTAAAATTAATAGATAGATAAAAAAGGCATATTTATCGAAAAATCACTAATTTTTTTTATTATTTACGTGTCAGATACTGTTAGAGAAAATATTACGAATCTAGTATCATTTGTAGAAAGGCGCGGCCCATGAATCGCGCTTTTCTTGGGATGGTTCTAAATATGTATAATATTTAAAAATAATTTCTAATATGTAATTAATTTATGTTATGGTGATATTTGTGTAAAAATGTCAACTTTATTTTTTTTTAAACTTTGTGCATTAAAATGCTTTTACAAATTATTTTTTAACTAAACAAATTTTAGTTTTTACATGAAATTACACAATACAATTATGTCTACCAATTACCACTTGACATTTTCTAATGTCTTTTTGACCCTTTCAAAATCTTATACGTATAGTCTAGTCTATGAAAACTTTGAGGTAAGTAATTTAAAATATGAATAATTTTATAAAAAATTTATAACTAGTATTTCTTTTTCAAAATGATGACGATGATGATGATGATAATAATAATAATAATAATAATTTTATAATTTAAAAAATTATAAATTTCATATATTTTAAAAAAAATTCTTAACTTTTAAAATTAATTGTTTAAAATATAAAAAATATTAAAATAAAATTTTAATTACAATTGAGGGATTAAATTAATTATTATTTTTTAACAATAGTTAATAATATATATTCATTTTTAAAATTAAGTACTATGACCATAAATTATCAAAATTATTAATTGTTGTTAAAAATAATAATTAATAAATAATATTTTTTTAAAAGTTTTATATTTAGTATTTTTTTAAATGATGACGATGATGATTATAATAATAATAATAAATATTTTATAATTTAAAAATTATAAATTTCATATACTTTTAAAAAATTTATTAACTTTTAAAATTAATTATTTAAAAATATAAAAAACATTAAAATAAAATTTTAATTACAATTAAGGAATCAAATGAATTATTATTCATTAATTATTATTTTTAGCAACAGTTAATAATTTTGATAATTTATGATCATAATACTTAATTTTAAAAATGAATACACATTATTAACTATTGTTAAAAAATAATAATTAATGAATAATAATTCATTTGATCCCTCAATTGTAATTAAAATTTATTTTAATATTTTTTATATTTTTAAACAATTAATTTTAAAAGTTAAGAATTTTTTTTAAAATATATGAAATTTATAATTTTTTAAATTATAAAATATTTCTTATTATGATCATCATCATCATTTTAAAAAAGAAATACTAGTTATAAAACTTTTATAAAAGTATTCATATTTTAAATTACTTACCCTCAAAATTTTTCTAGATTAGACTATACATATAAGATTTTGAAAGAGTAAAAAGGACATTAAAAAGTGTCAAATAATAATTGATAGACATAACTGTATTGTGTAATTTCATGCTAAAATAAAAAAAATTGTTGAGTTATAAAATAATTAACAAAAACATATTTAAAAATTTTAATACAAAAATTTATTTAATATCACCTGATAAAAATTAATTATATTTTAAGCATTGTTTCAAAAACTTTTATAGATTTAGCACTCATCCCATAAAAGCACGTTTCATAAGTTGCATCTTACTCCACGTGATGTTATGTTCACGTAAGAAGCGGTATATAAACCGAGCCTTTTTGAAAAAAATGCTAAATTTATAATATTTTTCCTAAAATATCTAACACATAAATAATAAAAAAATCAGTGATTTTTCGTTAAATAGGATAACAAGTGGGCCATTAAAATAACGTTTAAAAGCGATCCGCCCACTTGTTAAAAATATGCTTCCTCATTATACAGAGAGAGTACAGCGTACGGACACTGCTATCTTGTCTCTATCGAGCTTTAATATCTTTCATTTCAGCCTGATCTTTATCTTCTTTTTAAACCCATTGATCCTCGGATCAGATTGAAATCTGTTAGATTCCGGTCTTATACTCATCAGATTTTAGTGTTATACCTTACTTTTATATATATATTTTTTTAATTAAGTTAATTTTTATTGGATAAAAATAATTTTTTTCATTATTTTAGGTCGGGTCAGGTCGAGTTTTTAAGTTATATATCGGGTCAAATTCGGTTCAGGTGAAATCTTATTTTGGTTGGGTCGGATTAGATCTCGGGTGGAGAATTCTTTATTCTATGATCGGGTCGGGTGGACCAAAAACTCGACCCAACCCAACCTATGCACATCCATGTCCACAACTATTTATATATTTATATTTTCATAAAATTAGGGTCCGTTTGTTTCACGTAAAACGTTTTTTGAAAAATATTTTCTTCATTTTTCAGTATTTGGTTAGAGAAAAAACTAATTGATTAACGTAAAACATTTTCCTGATCAACAAAATTTTCTATATGTTTTTTGGAAAATAACTTACGGTCTAATTTTCTATAAGTCATTTTTCTAAACTTTTCACTTCAAAGAAATAAATACTTAAAATAATTTTATTTTATGAATTTAATATGAATAAAATATTTTAATATTATTTTATTCAAAATATTAATTATTAAAATATTTAAAATATATTTAATAATATTTCTAATAATATAATATTATATTTTTAATATTATAATAAAATAATTAATTATATTATATTAATATAAGATATTATAATATATTTTAATAATATATAATATATTATTAATAAAATTTAAATTATTTATTGATTTCATAGAAATAATATTATTAAATTATTAATATTGAATAATATTATTAAATTATTAATATTGAATAATATTATTTATATATTTAATATTAATATAATAATCTAATAATATTTTAATAAATATATTTAAAATATACTAATTAATATTTTTAAAATATAATATGACACTATTATTTTAATAAATAATTAATATAATTTATAATATTTTTATTTCAATAAAATATACTAATATTTTTATTTTTATTAATAAAATATTTTGATAATAAATAAATTATTTTAATATTTTAAAAATAATAATATTAAGTTTTATGATAAATAATAGTATTTATTGTATTTAATATTTATAATAAATAATTTTAAAAAAAATATCAACTAATGAAAAAATGATTTAAACAATATCTTCCAAACATTTAAAACATTTTTCAAAAAATATTTTTTAGAAAACATAATTCATTTTATTAAAAATACTTTTTAAAAAACGTTTTCAGTCAAAAAAATATAGACCCTTAAAATATGAGCTGAATTTCTCAAATAATGCAGTTGAAAAAAATTGTTCGAATAGGGCACTCTGAAAATTATTTCGTGAAATCGAGTGAATGCTACAGTAAACCCGAAGACGCATTGGAGTCCAAGCGACTTATACATAAATTTGGGGGAGACGCTTGGAGTGCAATGCGTCTCCCATTTTTTTTCATCAATTTCATTCCTATGTAAACGTACAAAGGATAATTTACACAATTAATCATTAACTTTATTCTCTGTCAAAATTAATTAAATACAACTGCACTGTTTTGGAAAACAATTTCAATTAGAAATTATGTAAGCACGATGTTGGTTTCTTTAGTACACAAATTCAATGCTAGAGCTGATGGACCAAATTGGCTTCCATATAACAACTTGAACAATGGTCGATGAGTGATCAAAATAGGAGTAAAACAAAAGTTGAGTGATTAAATTGAAAAAATTAAAAGTATAATGAGTGAATTTGGAGAGAGAGTAAAGTTAAATGATTAGTTATGTAATTTAGCCTAAAAAATATGGGAGACGCATTACACTCCATGCGTCTCCATATTTTCAAAAGGTAAATTACACAATTAATCATTCAACTTTACTCTCTCTCAAAATTCACTTATTGTACTTTTAATTTTTTTCAATTTAATCACTCAACTTGTGTACTAAAGGGTAATTTTTTAACTTTTTCATAAATGTACAAAGGGTAATTTTTTTTGGAGTCCAAGCATTGAATTTGTGTATTAAAGAATGCTTACATAATTTCTAATTGAAATTGTTGTCCAAAATAATATCATTATGATAATATCTAGTGTATTTTAAATAAAAACAGTTTTATAATTAAATTAATTTCAAATATATTTGTAATACCAATTTAAATTGAATATTTAGTAAATATAAAGTTTATATTATATATTTACACGACTAACATAAAAATATGAATAATTAATTGTATAATTTAGTCTTTGTACATTTATATAGTAAAAAATAATAAGTCGTGTGAACTCCAATACATCTTCAGATTTATTGTAACATTCATTTTATTTCACGAAATAATTTCGATAATGCCCTATTTGAATAAATTTTTTTTCAGCTGCTTTGAGAAATTAAAATAGTGTTGCTTGCTTTATTAGTTTTATGAAGTCATTTTGACCGTGAGCTCCACTTTCCTTTTCCCTCTATATAACTCTTTCCACCTTCTCTTCTCTCCTCGCACCCTTACCCGTAAACTTTTTCTCCTCTTTGTTTCCTTCAACCTCCCTAATGGCCGAGCAGACGCCGTTGAAGCGCGAGAGAGAAGAAACCCAGATCCCAGATGAAGAAACAAAACGCCATAAATCATACAATCACATCCTCTCTTTGCTCGAAGTAGAAGACGACGAGCCAAACCAGGACTTGTCTTCTCTAATCATCACTTTACAACAGGAACTCTCTTCCGACTTCGTTTTAGATGACATACTTATCTTCCCTACAACTAATGCTACCTTAGAAGCTAACCAAGAAAACCCCAGGCCCTCAACCACAACAGAGACGAGCGACACCGCCACCGGCGCCGCAGACGGTGGAAATCAGGATGATAAAGAGCAAGTCATACGGCATTTGCTTGAAGCTTCTGATGATGAGCTTGGGATTCCTAATAGAGAAGGTGCTTTTGAGTTTGAACAAAGTTTTGACAATGGCGGAAATGGGTTTGCTTTGTGTGATAGGTTATGGGAACTTGAAGACGAGGCTGCTAATTACTATACCTTGTTAAAGTCTTAACTTTCCTGTAGTAATAGCTGGTGATGTGGCTTTTGTAAGAATTGAAATAGGTGGCAGAAAGTTATTGTAGAGGGTAAAAATCAGAAGAAGAAGAAGAAAAACTATGGGGACTGTTGGAGAAAATTCGTAAAATGACGCCGTTTTTCTTTTGGTGTTTTATATGATTTTAGAATTCCCCCCATGAAAATGTTCGAATTTTCCATCTGTTTCTCTGTGGCTTTGAAAATTAGATTTTAGGCAAATGGAAATGATTCATATTTTATCGGTCACGAATTTTCAAATTACTCCATCCAATGTCAATATTGATATGAGCACCGTAGTTTGGACATAATTTTCAGAATAATTATAAAATAATATTTACTAAAATATTTTTTTATTAATAATATATATTTCATCCATCTAAAATATGTTAGTTGAAGTGGTAGTTTAAGTATGATTTTGTGTTCAAGTTTTTATAGACTTAAAAAATTCTTATTGAGTTATTTATCTACGAAAATCAGGACAGAAAAAAAATAGTCATACTCAAAATATTTTATTAAAAAAATCAACAAATAATATATATATATATATATATATATTATATCTCTTATTTTTTTATATTTATCAAAATAAATCTATTAATCATCTTTTAAAAATAATTTGATCATTTTTTTTGTCTAATATATTTTTTAAAATTAACATGTATAATTAATATAAGACATAAATTATAAGATGTAATTATTTAAATATTATTAATAATATATATATTTAAAAAAATAATATTTTCTTTTATATTTGAGGGGACTCTTGAATTCCCAACTTGAGCGCAAGGAATAAAGTAAGAATCCCACTTTTAACTATCGAATATGAAAACATTTACTTTCAAAGGATTGAGAAAATCAAAAAAGCAAACCGTACGAAATTATGCTATTTTCACTTTTATTTAGCATATGAAAAAGAAGCTATTATTATTCTCTTTAGCTTTTTTTTCCTTCTACTTTTAAAGTATTAACCTTATTGGCAAGTTTCTCATAAATTTAATATTAAATTTTAACATATGTTATGACGTTTTGTTAATGGGTTATATAGGCAAGTCCAATCAAATATTATATGTATCCGATGAAATTGACCAAGTAACGTGGTAAAAAAATTGGCTCTAGACATAAGAAATTATTTTCTTAATTAAGATGAAATAAATAATGAATGGGGAAGATGAATGGATCTTCTGATGTCTTCATGAAGACGCATGGAAGACTCGCATCTTCCCCTTACTTCCATGGTTGGTGCATGCCTATCTGATAGGGGATGATAGCGAAGTTATGAATGTAGTTGAAGAATCAAAGACTAGAGGTCTAGACTCAATCAAAGAACGAGATGGAAGATGGATTAGATTGCTGTCACAATCTATGGTTTTGAATGGGAAAGAAAATTACTAGAAAATTAAGATAAGAATAAAATATTAAAATAAAGATAATGAAGATTAAGAAAATATGATAAAGATAGGATGACAGCCAAAAATAGATTTTTTTGTAACACCCCAAATTTTGGGGCTAGTAGTTTTGGGCTTACTCGAGAGACATCTAAGACTCGAGGGTTTCATAAATTAAATCGTTGGGCTTAACTGGGTTGGAATTGAGTCCAATTAACCATAAATGAGGTTTTTGAATAATATAAAAATGAAAAGTGACTAAGAGTGTAATTTTACCTTTCAAAAGATAAAAGCTTTATATCTTCCATTTCATCTCATTCCCTTTATTTTCTCTTTATTCCCATTTCTTCATTCCTTCCTCCTCCTCAATCTCCTTAAACCAAAAGTGAGTGCTTTGAACTATTTATTACATCTTTAATTCTTCAATTCCTTCCATAATTTCTCAAGCAACATCCTTTTAATGAATCAAAGCTTTGGGTTCTTTAGTTGCAAGAAAAAGTTATGTGTTTTCATCCAAATCGCAAATGAAAGGAGTGTGGCTAAGTAAGGAGCTTCATTTCGGGATTCAAACATCAATTTAGTGTATTTCTAATCCTTTGGAGTGTTAAGACTTTCATAAATATGATGAATTGCTAAGATTTATGTAGTTTATCATTAAGGGTTCAAACTGGATTCATGTCATAAATGATGTTTTAGATGTAAAGAATGTGTTTTTATGACATATTAAGACCCTAAATAACTACCCATAACATTAGTACATGATTAAGAACCAAACTATGGCCTTTAAAGCAATTTTGGATGTTTTCCAAGCATAAATAAAATATTTCGAGGTTTGAGTATCGATACTAGAATGAATAGTATCTATATTGGATGAATTGAGGTAAAAATTAGGGATTTCAGGCAGGAAGTATCAATATTACCCCTACAGTATCTATAATGAGCCATATTTTTAGCAACATAATGCATTTTTAGAACCGATACTCATAGGAGTATCGATACTTGATCCTAGGGTATCGATACTACAAGCAGAGTATCGATACTACCCACATTGGATGATCAGATTCGACCCAGTTAAGGTCAATAAGAGCTAGGGATGGTCCGTAAGGATAAAAATTAGTCCGTGAGGGACGTAAATGGCTAGAGGGAACCAACGACACTCCTAGGAGTGGGTTAGAACCAGAATAACTATAGCAGGTGTAACGCCTCCAAGTAACTTCAATTGAACACGTAACAGATATTTAAGAATGGAGGATCATTGTGAAGGGTGTACAAGTAAACAATATGACCAAATAATTAGATTATAAAACATCAGAATCGTGTACTGCAAATGACATAGAGTGATGGAATCACAAATGTTCATTTAATTCGAGGGTAAATTAAGGGAAAGTGTAGTAAGAGCGAATAGAGTATGGCTACCCAAAAATGAACTCGAGTAAGATATCAGACTAACCAGTATAACAACCAATAAATAACAAACATGGTAGTCGTTGTGAAGCCATAAAACGCATAGAGACTTCTCTAGAGTTAAAGAATAACTAAAATGCCCTAAGTAATGAACAACCAAATCAAGATAGATTATTAGTAGTAACAAACTAATAAACCCTCGCACCACGTTCTAGATGAGAGAATGAGCGAGATAACAACTAGGGAGAACAATAAACGAGAACAAAATTGCTTAAAATATCTAAGATATAAGTATCATAAAACTAGCCTTTGTGTGACACTCGAAAAACAGTCAGGACTCTCGAGTTACTTTAGCATTAGGATGATTATCTTATTTGTTAGAATGTCCTGGTATATACCAGTCAATAGTAAGACACTTCAGATGCCAACTGGGCACAGATGCCTCAAGACTCGACGGAGTAAGTTGGCGGAGTGTATATTTCCGATGCAGCTCTAGAACTCACCCTAGATACCCAAGGGGTCAGGTGTACGTTTCTGATGCAATTTCGAATCTCATCCTATGCACCCAAGGGTATCTTAAGTAGGCTAGAGGGGTGTGTGAGCTCCGAGATGCAGTCCCTCAGTCACACCATGATGCATACCTCAACTTGTGTGTTGCATAGTAGTATCAGAGTTGCATTTAGATAATTCCTAATAGATTCAGTATAGCATTCAAATAATACATAGAAAACTCAACATTGTATTCAGATAATGCATAACAGACTCAACATTACATTCAGATAATGCATAGCAAAGTTAGTAATGCATTCAGATAATGCCCAATAGAGTCAGTATTACATTCAGATAATGCACAACAGAGTCAGTATTGCATTCAAATAATGCACAACATAGTCAATATTGCATTCAGATAATGCACAATAAGTTAATTTTGCATTCAAATAGTACATAGGAGTGTTAGTAACACATTTAGATAATTTGTATCAGATACAATCATTAAGGTTAGATACCATTTAGAGATGTACTCATGGCTAAGCCCTTAGTAGAGAATTTAGGGAAGCCTGAGAATCCTACTTTAGTGATAGAACAACTAAGCCTTAAGTAGGTATCACTTGATCTAAATCATTTTTGTAACTACTACTTAGTACCATGTCTTCAACATTCTTGTATTTATGAAATTCTTAATGCTACTCTAGATTAGCGATTATACTGATGGGCTTTAAAAGCTTAACCTTCGAATGTTTTACATTAGCAAGTCAATAGCTTGAGTAGATCTTGGAGTACTGTCGCAGCAGGACTTCCAGCATCTCCTTCAGAGTAATGTACTATAGCTTAGTGGCCATATGTATTAATAGAAAACCTTACTCATGTATTCATATTTGTGACTCAATTTTGTATTATTTGATTTAAAATATGTTTCATGGAGCTCTAGATTTATAAAAATGTTTTTGTAACAATTATTTATGTTTTATTTATGATATCATTCAACATGTTTGAAAAGAAAACAAACATGTTTTTGAAAAACCCCAATGTGGAACTTTAGGCCCATTCAGGTTTAGGGTTTTACAATTATGGTGATGATGGGCGAGAATGGTGATTTGATGATGATTATGGTGATTGATAGATAGTTGTCCTACGAACCATCCTACCAATAATCGACTAGGAAAAATCATTAATTGGCTCTAACCAGCCCCTCTAATCGCAATGAAAATACAAACAGGAGTGTTAAAATCTCTCTCACGAAGAGCTTGAAGAACTTAATGATGAAGAATGGTTCAAAAGCATAATGCAATCAGTACTTGCAAAAATGAACCCACATTGTATTATTAACTAAATAAATCTGCTTACAATGGTAAATAGAGTGTAACACCCCCAACATGTACCCGATCCGGATACGAATCTGAGGTATCACATTGACTTTTCAACGCTTTGACTCTTTGAAAATCTAATTAAAATTTGACATTTTCCTTTATTTTAGTGGTGAAGCCCTCATTAACACTAGTTAAAATAAAAATTAATGTTAAAAAATGAAAAAATATTTAATATATTTACATAAACCTTAACGGGTATAGTTACAAAACAGATTAGAGAATTTGTGATTTAAACATTTGTAGTACATGCCAACAAAACTTCAAAATAACAAAATCGCATACTGTTCAAATCGATCTGAAGAACTAGAATTGTCCCGAAT